TGGAAGGAGCAGAAAATCCAGAAACACTGGGGAGACTCTGGGGTGCAGAATGGTCAAACTGGTCCGAACTGGAGCCAAACTGGTCCAAACTGGTCCGAACTGGTGTCATTTCTCCCCCAGGAGCCCAATGGTGACTGGGATGGAGTTTGGGGATCAGAGGGGAAGATGAATGGGCGATTTAGGAACGGGAAGGGGAAATAAAGCAGAAATTTTGGGAATGTGGGGAACACTCCAGCAGCACAGAATGGCCAAACTGGGACCCAAACTGGACCCAAACTGGTCCGAACTGGACCCAAACTGGTCCGAACTGGTCTCATTCCCACCCCCAGGAGCCCGATGGTGACTGGGATGGAGTTTGGGAATCAGAGGGGAAGATGAGCAGAGGATTTGAGGAACAGGAAAAGAAAGGAGCAGAAATTCTGGGAATATATGGGAGACTCCAGCGGCACAGAATGGCCAAACTGGGACCCGAACTGGTCCGAACTGGTCCGAACTGGAGCCAAACTGGTCCGAACTGGTCTCATTGTCACCCCCAGGAGCCCGATGGTGACCGGGATGGGGTTTGGGGAGCAAAGGGGAAGATGAGCAGGGGATTTAGGAACGGGAAAAGGAAGGAGAAGAAATTTCGGGAATGCGGGGAACACTCCAGCAGTGCAGAATGGCTGAACTGGGACCCAAACTGGTCCGAAGTGGGCCAAACTGGTCTCATTCCCACCCCAGGAGCCCGATGGTGACCGGGATGGGGTTTGGGGATCAGAGGGGAAGATGAGCAGGGATTTGAGGAACAGGAAAAGAAAGGAGCAGAAGTTTCGGGAATGCCAGGGAGAATGCGGGGTACAGAACTGGGCTGAACTGGGAGCCAAACTGGGAGCCAGACTGGTCCGAACTGGTGCAAACTGGTCCGAACTGGTGTCATTTCCCCCCAGGAGCCCGATGGTGACCGGGATGGGGTTTGGGGATCAGAAGGGAAGATGAGCAGGGGATTTAGGAATGGGAAAGGGAAGGAGCAGAAATTTCGGGAATGCGGGGAGACTCTGGGGTGCAGAACGGCTGAACTGGGAGCCAAACTGGGACCCCAAACTGGTCCAAACTGGTCTCATTCTCACCCCCAGGAGCCCGATGGTGACAGGAACATCGGTTCTGGGGCTCAAGTTCTCGGGCGGGGTGCTGCTGGCCGCGGATATGGTGGGATCCTACGGCTCCCTGGCGCGGTTCCGCGGCATCTCCCGCCTGCTCAAAGTCAACAACTCCACCGTGCTCGGAGCCTCGGGGGACGTGGCCGATTTCCAGCACCTGCGGCAGCTCCTGGAGCAGATGGTGTAAGGAATTCTGGAATTTCTGGGAATTGTGGGATTTGGGGGATTTATGGGGTTCCTCTCCTGGAGCAGATGGTGTAAGGATGGAGGGAATTCCGGGGAATTCTGGGGTTTGGGGGATTGATGGGGTTCCTGTGCTGGAGCAGATGGTGTAAGGGTGGATGGGAATTCTGTGGAATTCCTGGGAATTGGGGGATTGATGGGGTTCCTCTCCTGGAGCAGATGGTGTAAGCAATTCCGGGAATTGTGGGGCTGGAGGGTGGGATTTGGGGTTCCTGTCCTGGAGCAGATGGTGTAAGGAATTCCGGGAATTCTGGGGAATTTCTGGGAATTGGGGGATTTATGGGATTCATGTCCTGGAGCAGATGGTGTAAGGAATTTCTGGGAATTGCGGGGAATTCCTGGGAGTTGGGGGACTGGAGGGTGGGGTTTGGGGGATTGATGTCCTGGAGCAGATGGTGTAAGGATGGATGGGAATTCCTGGGAATTGTGGGGTTTGGGGGATTGATGGGGATTGGAGTGCAGGGTCATTTTTTTTGGGCTGATATCCCCCATTTCTGTGTCATTCTTGTGCTGATATCCCCATATTTTGATATCATTTTTGTGCTGATATCCCCCATTTCCATGGTGTTTTTTGGGGCTGAAATCCCCTTATTTTGATGTCATTTTTTGGGGCTGAAATCCCATATTTTGGTGTCCTTTTTTGGGCTGATATCCCCCATTTCTGTGGTGTCATTTTTGGGCTGATATCCCACATTTCTGTGTCAATTTTTGGGGCTGAAACCCCATATTTTGGTATCATTTTTGGGCTGCAATCCCCCATTTCCATGGTGTTTTTTGGGGTTGAAATCCCCATATTTTGATATCATTTTTGGGGCCGATATCCCCTATTTTGGTGTCATTCTTGTGCTGATATCCCCATATTTTGATATCATTTTTGTGCTGATATCCCCCATTTCCATGGTGTTTTTTGGGGCTGAAATCCCCGTATTTTGATGTCATTTTTTTGGGGCTGATATCCCCTATTTTGATATCATTTTTTTGGGCTGATATCCCCATTTCTGCCATTCCAGGATCGACGAGGAGCTGCTGGGGGACGGGCACAGTTACAGCCCCCGGGCCGTGCACTCGTGGCTGACGCGCGTCCTCTACAACCGGCGCTCCAAAATCAACCCCCTCTGGAACACCCTCGTCATCGGGGGTGTTTA